TAGTTTACTGGGTAATTAAAAACTACAGGAAAGATCTCACAGAAGAGATGGCAGTGAGTTGAGCCTTGAAAAAAAATGGACTCCCCCTAATGTCAGCAAATTTTATAATGGAGAATTGCTTTAGAATGCCTGGGGCAATGAGAAGTGACCCGATTTGCCACAAACCCATGGCTTATATGTGTCAGAGGCAGAATTTGAAACTTGGTCTTCCTAACTCCAAGTCTTTTTCTATACCCATGCTGAAAATCAGGCTTCCATGCCCCAAACCTAGTAGGGGCTTAATAAATGCTTGTTGATTGATTGCTATAAGCCTTTCTAGTTGAGTAGAATCTGCCATAGCTTGTGCTCTTCAAGCATGGCCATCAGAACTAACAGATGCCTCCATCCCATGATGAGGAAAGGTAATAGGATTTTGTGAAGGACTAGATTTCTTAACCTAGACCTGTAACTTCATTGGGACAGGGAATTCCTATACCTCTCCCAATGCAGGTTGATACCAGCTTTGAAATTTAACAGCCTTAGAGACTTGTGGAGGAGGGTGGGGCACTGAGAACTTCATTGCCTTGTCTAGCTCACATAGCCATCATGATTAAAAGGTAGGACTTGAACTCACATCTTCCTGACACCAAGAATTATCTCTGCTGCAGCAAGCTGCTTCTTGCTTTATACGATAATTATTCATAAATATAAAAATTCCTTAACATAATGAGTAAGGAAAGAAGTGAAGAAGCAAATGTGCACTTTGCTGGGTGCATTTTACTTACTGCTCCAAGTATAGGAGCCAGATCTTCGGAATCAGAAGCCAGTTTTATGTTAATAGTCTTGAAAGCAAGAGTAGAATAAGTTAGAGAATAAAAACTAAAGTACCCTGCCAATACAATGACTTCTCAGAAGACACAAAAATCTCTTCCTATAGTCTTATGTCACTTTAGCTGAAGAGGGCCTGAGTGCCTAGCAATCATGCTGTACACCTCTGAGCCCCAACAGTCCTGGAAACTGTGGTGACTCTGGAAAACTACAGCCCAGAAGAACCCAGTGGCATTTATACTTGGTTCTGAAGGACATGTGACAAGTCCAGAAAAATCATTGTATCAGATAGTTAGGTACCTGTAGTGGGATGGGAGGGGGATATCTTTCTACTACGAAGGACAATGAAAGCAAAAAGGGACCATGGAAATAGAAAAGACTCATTGAGGAACTGAACAAGAAAAGAGTCTGGATCAAGGGACAAATATGGTACTAGAACTTTTCTCAGAATATTCTGCCTTACTCTTTACTAAAGAGTTCAAACGTAGAGAAGCATTCAATCACTGATTCAAAACAAAAACAAAAACCCTCAGAAAGTACAAAAGATTGAAATTTTCAGTCAAAGCTGAACATTCTCATTGTTTCCATGTGATTAATCTAATGATCAGATAGAATGATAACTAATCAGATGGAAGCCTCCTTTCACCTGACAGATTGGCTTTACGACAAAGGTACTTTTCAGGACCGTCTAGTTCTACTATTAAAACATTCAACCGTGCCCATCTCCTGACACTAGACTACTCTTCTCTTCAAGGGAACTTTGTTCTCTGATGGGCATGGGCTATAAGAAATATTGCAATTAGCAAATGTTTGTTTACAACCCTGCAGGCATTATATTTCCACCTTACCTGTGAAGACTTACAAGCCCTGATGAGAACAAAACAAAGTATAAAATGTAGGAAATCATTTAAGTAGTCAGATTTTTGATTATCTGTACTGGTGGGCAGCCATAGCACGGTTAACCCTAAAACATGGAAACTCTATCAGAGGCTGGGTTTCTACTTTACCTTCCAGAAGCCCCAAGCTAGGTTGACAGTATGGGTAACTACTAGGTAAAAGTTAAGCTAAAAAATGTACCTGAGCTCTGAAATTACCCTCCAGAATTGTTCAAAGACAGGAAGAGTAGAAAACTGAAATTTTACTCTACTATCAGCAATGGTTTTAAAAGTAGACTAAGGAGGCTATACATAGATGTACATAGAAGGTTCCCTGCTCCCCAAAACTACTTTTCTTCATTGGTCACTGATTAATGAAACTTCCAACAACAGAAAGGTTTTTTTATCCTAAGATCTGATGTATTCAAATTCAAATACTTTGAGCTTATCAGTTATTGCTATACTTTAGCATAAAGAATACTTCCTGAAAGTGACATATGTGATCAGAGGAAGAAGGCTATCAGAAGACACTAGTTGCCTGAAAAAAAAAAAAACACTAGAGGAAGGAAAGGCTAGAGACATCAAAACATGTTTTATCACCATAATTTCGGGATGTCCACCTTGATTAGCACAATAAAATAATTATTAATTAGGACTCTACCGATCACAAATATATGATAATTCAGATAGTGTATTTATTAATTCACTAAGTTCAAAAAGCTCTTTGCAAATTTCTAGGGATTTATTTGTGAGTAGGAAAGATTTAGTCAAAACCACAAATTTCAACTGCTAGGTCCAGAAATTACTCATTATGTTAAGGAATTTTTATATTTATGAATAATTATCATATAAAATGAGAAGCAGCTTGCTGTAGCAGACAGAGATAATCCTTGGTGTCAGGAAGATGTGAGTTCAAGTCCTACCTTTTAATCATGATGGCTATGTGAGCTAGACAAGGCAATGAAGTTCTCAGTGCCCCACCCTCCTCCACAAGTCTCTAAGGCTGTTAAATTTCAAAGCTGGTATCAACCAGCATTGGGAGAGGTATAGGAATTCTCTATCCCAATGAAGTTACAGGTCTAGGTTAAGAAGAAATCTAGTCCTTCACAAAATCCTATTACCTTTCCTCATCATGGGATGGAGGCATCTGTTAGTTCTGATGGCCATGCTTGAAGAGCACAAGCTATGGCAGATTCTACTCAACTAGAAAGGCTTATAGCAATCAATCAACAAGCATTTATTAAGCCCCTACTAGGTTTGGGGCATGGAAGCCTGATTTTCAGGAGTTTCCATTCTATTGGAGAGAAACATGTACACAAATAAAATAAATACAAAGAAACTGGATGGATGACACAAATGGCAGGGGGGATGTCCACTAGAGACAGAACATGTTTGCTCTCTGAGGACTAGCTTTGCTAGGCCTTGAGAAACTTTCTGGGGTTAGAGTGAGTAAGGGTGAGGGAAGAGGATTCTCTCACTATAACAGAAATTTCTGTAAATCAAATTATGCTGTACTATTGATTTAATTGGAGATAAATTCTCACAGTGGAAAAATTGGGTCCCAAGATATAATAGAAATGTCACTTGGGAAATACAGTAAATTTTTAAACACAAATTAAATGAACAAACGTTTCAAAATGTGTATGTTGCAAAACAGCTGTACATTGGCATGGGTAGAAGGAGTTCCTTAAATTAGTGAAATCACACGTCTTCAACACCACCACCATCACAACCATCAACAATATATATATAAGGATTAGTTATCATAGCAGTGATTATGTAACAGAAGCATTCTTCTATTTTTTTCTTGCCATTTCTTCACATCTCTGAACAAAATGTTTTGAAATTTTTCATTTAAAATGAAGGAGGTTACAGGAAGTATTTTTCCAACTCAATATTTTCCTCCTCACCTATAAACATTTCTACAATTGTTCATTAAAAATTAAATTGATCATTTTCTGATACTGTAGATGTAATGAGAATTCTAATCATCCTTTCACGGAAAATAACAGGCATTTGATTCATCAAATGTACACATGCACCTTATTTTACAGAGCAGATGTGTTCCCAAAATACTGGCTGCAACACAAATTTCTGTAAGTCAAATGATACCTTCCCACTTATTTACTTGGAGATGAAAATTCCCACAGTAGAATAATCCCAAGATGACAGCTATGTCATTTGGGAAATAAAGCAAGTATTTTAAAGATACATTAAAAGAATAAATCAATATCACATAATCATATATTTAGAAACTGCAAGGTACTTCAGACTCCCATTCTTCAGACATCCTCTATTTGGCTTTTAAAGCCCTTCACAAACCTGGCTTCAACTTATCTATGAAGTCTCTTTATATATCAACTCCTACCACCTGGTTCATGCCCTAATGCTTCAGTCAAACTGGACTTTTCTCTGTTCTCCACACCACCCCATCTCCGTTCTCCATGCCTTCACACTGGCAACTCCAAATACTGGAAATGCACTTCTCCCTATTTACATTTCATAGAATCTTTTAACTTCCTTCTAGATTTTTCCTGATTCCCCGGCAACTACTGCTTTCCCTCCTTAACAACTCAGTTTTCCTTTAATCCTTGTGTTTTTTTCAAATTTTCTGTCAAATTGTCCACCCAAATTTCTTCATATTTCTGATACTTAGTACCATCAGATCTCTGGGCATAATCTGGGGGTCCCCTCCCTTCTTGGTCATTTACAATAGACATGTGTATATTCAAGGTAATTGAAGGAATGTCTCATTTTATTCCCTTATAAATTTTACAATTAAAACTACACATTTATATTGATGCAAAACAACCTCCAAGCCCCTATCTATGGTTGTCCCTTACTCCACACAATCACTTCGAGAGAGATGTACTTTGCTGCAATATGTTCCTCAAAGAGCTGATTCAATTTAAGATTAAATTTTGTATAAAGCAAAGAAAAAGTAAAATGCAGAAAGAGTTGTTTCTTAGTAATCCTATGGCAAAATGATTCGTACATCAAAGAATCTTTTCATTGAGTAATTATCCCTTAATTTTTGTAAATTTAGACTTACACATATCAGTTTTGTTTCAAAGTAAGGTAACTTCAATAAATTAGAATTGTAACTGTATGCCCACCCTATGTATGCTCATCAAAACTCAGATGGTAATGATTTGTTGATTTTTAAAAAGCAATTTCCCAAAACCAAAGCATAACCACAGTATTAAATAGAAATGTAAGTGAACAAGAACCTATACATTATATACAACTGGTTTTTCAAGCCCTCTAATTCAAAAAGAAAAATGTCAATATAACTTCCTCAAACAGCAAGGGACTTACGTAATCATGGAAGGCTTTAGCTTCACTTGAGTGTTCACATGTTTCACGTCTTTCTGGAGCTGCACAGTAGAGGTCCCAAAATACACTATAAAAAAATAAAACAACAGTAAGAAAAGTCATAGCACCAGTACGAGAAAATGATCATTCCTCTAATGCAAAGACATTTGGAAGAGTCTTGCTTTCCTACAGCAAAATTTTCTTCATAAGGCAACATAATGTACCATTAGGAAGGTTAACATGTAATATTCATATAACTTTAGGGTACCTCCAGAAGTTTATTTCCCACAAGACTGGAAGATGTTTGAGATGCGATATTCCTGAACTTTGTATAAATGAAATTATTAAACATCTATGAATTAAAAATCAACACTAAAAACAAAAGAAAAAAATCAACAAATTCATCCATGTACAGTAATGTTTTTCAAAGTTACTGAGAAGGATTTGTGAAAATCATATAAGGTATTTTCAAGACAATCCCTGAAGTACTGAAAAGGTAAGTAAAATATCCTAATTTAATTGATGGAGAACAAAGAAATTTGTTCATTTGTCCAAGATTATTGAGTTGTTCAGTTAGGAAGTGTACTTATTTTTAGCCAAATTTTTTGCCCAATAAAACACAACAAAGCAACATTTCTTCAAATGTTTTCTTCTTCTACAATGAACAGAGGATGATTAGAACTCAAGAATCTAAGTTTGATGACTATTCCAAGAAGATATTTTCTCTTTCATGTAAGACCTAACACAAAGGAATTTCTGCTAAGTGTTCTGTAGCACAGAAGATTTTTTTTTTCTGAGCAAGATAAACAACCAGGGTAAAGTATAACTTCTTATTTTAAAATTATCTCCCTGTATTTTGGAAATAATGCTACATAACACTAAAGACTTCCTGAGCTGTAAAATCTACATTGTTGAATAAAAGAGAAAAGAAGTTTTAATAGATCCTTGAATTCATAATGCTATTTCTATAGGACAAGGAGTTTTGTTTTTGTGAAAACTGACCAGCATGCCTCTTTAATCTTAAAAGGGAGGTACTACAGCTTTTAAGGCAGATTTCAAGCCTAGAAAGCCTTCCTGACGTGTGATTCTTACTCATGACTTTCCATAAAACCTCTGTAAAAGATCCACCAAAAACACTGGAAGATTTCCTCTTTTTCTTTTAATCTTCTATGGGCATTAGTTCAGCCATACCACCACAACTCTCTGTTGATGTGTAATATTTAAATTATTTCCTTGGTTTCTGGTTGTTTGTTTTTTTTTTGTTATAATACATCTTTTTTTTTTTATCTCACTAAAAAAATGGCCCATCTTTTACACTGCTACTCAAAGGCAAATCATTTTTGGTAAAACTCTTACAACCTTCAATGTCCTTTTCAACTGATTGTTCTTTTGTTCTGCCTATGACTCTGATTGTCTGCACTTACAGTGTTCCATGATTTATGGCTCTACAGCATTACCGAAATAATATGGGTGCTTTTTTTAAAAAATGGGCTGTTGCAGCAGCAATCAATTTGGGGCTGATAAAGAGGCCAGTTTCCCAAATTCAGTATACCCAGACTCTTCCTTCTCTTAAGTTGTAGGCCCTCCTCACTGTCCATTTGCCCAAGGTACATATGCCCAATATCCACTTTGGTTTTGATCAAGGAATAACAGTTAGGCCAAGAGGCAGCATGGCTTATCGACAGAGTGCAGGGGTTTAGATTTGAGAAGATACGGGTTCAAATTCTGCTTCTAGAAGTTACTATTTAGTTCTTGGAAATGTTGATTAACTTCTGTGCAACTTCCTAGGACTTAATGAATTACAGAGAGAGATTCAAATCTGCCCGGTTAGAAGGAATTCCTATACTAAAAATCTCCTTTAAATAATTAAGCATTTCATTGAGGGAGACTTTTTTTTTAGTATTATGAATCATAGCTAAATTAGTACAATCTCATCTACAAGAACCTCAAACCATGACTTCCCATCCCTCCAGGATCAAATACAAAAGCATCTGTTTGGTATTCAAAGCCCTTTATAATGTACCTCACTCTCTTCTTTTCCAGTCTTCTTTCAATTTGTACCTCACCATGTATTCTGTGATCCAGTGACACTGGCCTCCTTTGCTGTTACTCAAAAAGAACACTCCATCTCCCGGAGGGACATTTTCACTGGCTCCCTCCTCATCCGTGTCTACTGGCTATCCTGGCTTCCTTCAAGTGCCGATAAAATCCCACCTTCTGCAGGAAGCCTTTCCCAGGCCCTCTCAATTCTATTATCTTCCCTCTGTTGATTATTTCCAGTTTATCCTGTACAATGTGCATAATTATTTGCATGTTGTTTCCTTAACTGGATTCTGAGCTCTTTGGGAGCACGAGCTGTCTTTTACCTTTTTTTGTAACCCCGGAGTTTAGCACAGTGCCTGATGCACATAGTAGGTGCTTGATAAATGTTCACTGATTGACTGGCTGACTGACCATCAGTACAAAATGTTTCTATTTGGGCATTGTGTAAGAGTTCCTTCATTACACTGGCAAACACCTTGAGTGAACTTAGGTCTTTTTTGTGGTTCTTTTGCTATTGGCACTAAATGAATTGTTGAACAGAATTATTGTGAAGGTGGTATGATCAATTCTGTCATGATTTTTAATATACACATGGGGAGAAACATTGCTTGAAAGAAGTCAACAATCATTGCTCTTTTTAAGCAATACATAGCTTTTCTGTTCTTTGCATCTTGAAATGTTTGTATTTGCTGACAATCCCTTGAGTTCACAATAAAAAAGAAAATTTTAAATTAAAAAAAAATGCTCCATGACTGCACATTATCCTATTCAGATACTTTATTAAAATCACCAAACAATACCCACAGTGTAAACCTACATTCTTTATACCTTTTAGTTAGTTGTAGGATTGTGAAGATGGGATTCTATGTAGAAAATAATCTACAAAAACATGCCCATCCCCTTATTATTTTTCCTTCAAGAAAACTCTCAATGTGTGCATAAAACATTCTCACAAAGATTTTATAGGGATGAAGCTTTTCAGTCACTTTTTCTAGGTAAAAGTGTAGTTTTCTCTCCATTTTGATGGTGAGGGGGAGGAAACAGTTCCTTCTAAACTGTCTTTTAAAAATGAGCCCTCTGTGCCCCTAAAATTGTATAGCTTCAGATACATTTTTTTCTGAATACATTTGGTCAAGTTCAGGTGCTTTTTTCTGATCCCAATGTCTTAAATAATCTTGGCAATTATTCACATGGTACATCATATACTAGAGTGATAGAGTTCCGATGTGATCATTCCAGCATTGTCACAATTAGAACAGATAACTCTGGAAACAATGGAAGATCTGTCCCACTTCACGTCTATTTATCTCCATACTTCATCCATGAATGCTTTAAAGTATGATCAGGTTTAGCTGAGCCTTTCATTAAGTTTTCTGCAGGCTTATCAAATATGCTCTATGTTTTGTTAGATGATTCTGCTCTTAACTTCTTTCATTCTCTTCTGTAATATTTGCAAATGAGTTTGAATTCTACATTGGTATTGCCTTTTGCTGCCATGTCTTTCTATTTAACAAAGAGATGAACTGACTGCTGACTGAGGCCATTTCAGGGCTTTTCTGGGACCTCTTCTGGTGAGAGAGCATTGAATCTGCTAATCTTTGGCAGCCCAATCTAAAAGCAACTTAGAACTCACATGGACAAAAGTTCATATGTAGGAAACTTCTCATTAATAGTAAATGTCTTTGGTTCACATTCCCTTAACAGTCAGACCTATTACACTGTCTCTAAGAAATGGTGATAATCACTATCATCGTTGATTACTTTAATCTATTTCCCATTCTGAGCGATCAAAACTTTGTCTGGGTTAGAGCTGTTATAATTAAAAGCTATGTCTTCTCATGTCTATCCTTTCATATAATTTAGCATTGATTTTGACCATTAACTAGTCAGTCAGTCAGTCAACAAGCATTTCTTAAGCATGTACTAGGGACTGTGATAAGCATTAAGGATACAAAGAAAGTAAAAAAAAAATAGTCCCTGGTCTCAAGAAGTTAAAAATATAATGGAGAAGACAAAATTCAAATGACTATATACAAGCAAGATTTATACAGTATCAACTGGAGATCACCCCTCCTCTCATTTATCTGGGACAACACTGGGGAGAGAAAGGAATAGATGAGATGGTAAAGAACCTTTTACTTCAGACAGTGAATTATCATCCCCAATCCAACCCAAACTAATTCTGTTTCTAGCTTGTCCTAGACTCAAACTCTGACTGACATCTCTTTTGAAACATTTGTATAGAATTATATTTACTATAACGCTGTCTGTGCCACACATTGTGGCATTTAATCACAAACCATTCTTCTTTTCTCTCATTCCATAAAATGAATCATCATTCATCTTTCTTCCTTCCCTATCAGAGGATATGCAAAGCTCTTTGAATGCCAGAAACTTGCTCTTCTATACTTCACTTAATTCTCCAACAGTGATTATCACAGTGCTAAGGGCACAATACAATCCAAGTAAATACTAATTAAATTAATGCAATTTGTTATTTCTTAAGAGGCCATGTTAGCTTCTACTTCAGACCTATAATTCTTGCTGGGTAGAGGACGTTTCCCTCAAAGACTAGATTTAGAGAAAAAAGGACCTTAACATTCATCTAGTTCAAATCCCTCCTTTTACATACAAGAACTTCCTTTTTATTAGTTACAAACATTTTTTACAATAAAATTATTTCTTTTGTTAGGAAGAGGAAGAGAATTCCATCATCATTAACTCTCCACCGAGTTTTGGAAGGGAAGAAAAGAACTCCACAATGTGGTACTTTGTGGTCATGCAGGTACCTAACTACCTGAGGGATCCAGAGGACAAACCATGAAGAAAAAACTCAACTATCTTTTTTAACTCCTACAATCCTCCCCTGAAAAAAAATGGTAAATAAAAAATTGGCCCAAGTATTAATTAGTTGTGTAAGTTCACATCCCTTTACTCCCATGTGGATCACTTATGTAATGAGAAAAAACAAAGAAATATGGGAATTTGGTCTCCACAAATAATAAAACAAATTCAGTTTGTCTATAAATAAATATAATTACAAGA